AATTGCAAATGTCTATGGGCAGCGGTCGCTTTCCATTTCGGTGGATTCAGGAGGCCGCTTGCTCGTTTGCCACCTTATGTTATAAAAAAAAGTGTCAGAAGCCAGCGTGCCACTATTCCAACTACTGTCATGAATATTCCCGGCCTTATGTAAAGAGCCAGTCATAGTCGTTGAAGTAACGTAAAGTTCAATTGTGCGCGGAAAGCCATCGGCCTGAGAGAAATTAACGCGTCGCGCACTAGACTGTGATGCCTTGTAGACTTAGGCACAATTAGACAGAAACAACAATAATTAATTAATATGAAAACATTTCAATTGGAAGGTATACTTATTAATACTCTATGATTGTGACATAAGATAATCTAAACATTACTTTCATTTAAAACCGACAAAAAATGCTTTTGATTGATGAAGATTAGAAGTCTCCAATCTACGATAATCAACTCACTACAGAGTTTAAAACGTTTTGTAATTTAAATTCGTACATTATTAAAACGTGTCTGTTTTTTTCTTAAGCTTTTATAGACTAAAGGGCGGTGTACACTGTGTTTGTGATAAACGCCTAGTGGAGTGGAAGCAGACTGCGAGTTGTCAAGCCGCATTATTATGTTAAAGTTTTAACACGTACCATGCGACTACCATTTTATAAAAGTGAAGTCGCCTAGCAAGCTCAACTGAACGTAGTAAGGCTTCTTTTACCTAATACCTCTGATAATGTAATCCATACTAAAATAATAAAGCGTAAACACACACTACATTGACATGTAGTGTGTGTTTGCTGTCTGCTGACGCAATCACTGCACATTTTTAAATAAATCTTTCTTCAATAAAAGCCGGACACTTACGACTCGCCTTTGGGTATATATTTAAACGCGGGTAAATAAATTTGAAAAAATCCTTCAAGTGGGAAAGAGACCATAAACTACAAGCTGCCAACATTAATAAATCAAGACTTCGTTGTCATTTTTACATTTGAATTTTGACATTTGCAATTGAAATTGACAAATATAAATAATAAAATAAAGTTTTTATAATTTCACGCGGATGAAGCCGCATGGGAACAGCTAATATAGCTATAAAAAACATTATCTTGATATTGTGCTGTGATAAAATCTATTTGGTACTGAGCTTTGTGTGTGGAATATAAAATGAAATAACATTTGCAGGAGAAACACCTGTGAAAAAGTCAAAGAGTGACGACAGATCTAATAAATGGGAAACTCTCTGTTATTCTGTGGTCCAAGGCACAGACGGCGTTACAAAAGTTATGTGAATAATCTTGAAAAATGTTGAGTACGGAGTTATTAAAATTGTATTCAATTTCATAATATTGACTATTGTGTTATGCCAATAGTTGGATAGAATACTTTAATCTTATCATTTGTTATTAATTAAAATAACAAATGTAAATACCATAAAAAATCATTTCCAATATCACCTTAGATAATTATTAATGTGGATTGATCCGTTTTAATTATCGGTTGTTAGATTAAATGATGGAAATCCAATAAATTATTGTTGACATTCAATTGTTTTTTTTAGTAAGATTAGTAAGATTCTACTAAACATTTTTTCCGCCATCACCTATACCTTGGACATGTCACATCAAACCATCCGTCATACGCAACACATCTTCGGAATCAAAGGCTCGTGAAATAAGTATAAATAACGCGGCAAATATGTTGCGATACAGAAGCGTTAGTAAACTCCTCTTTCTTATTTCGCTATCATTTTAAGGATAATATTTATTTTATCTAGAAAAAAATACTTACCGTAATAAACAATTTTAATTCACAGCAATCGCAATATCCTTAATAGATTCATAGATAATTCATGTCCTATGTTAATAGGAGACTCTTCTGTAGACATGAAGTATACGAGACTAGAGGTAATTGTGTATCTTAAAAATACTAAGATAGAGTTCAATTTAAATGTAAAATAAGCAATTCTTTCTCACGACATCTAGAACTTACCTCACCGTAATAGCTTTAAGGTTGCTAGTGCTATACATTAATTAAAATCATAACACAATTTTTATTAATCCTTTCTGACAAAAACATTCATTTCAATGTTTACGATAAAGATTGAATAAAATGTTAACCCTGTTATTGAGGTTATAAATTCATCAATCAGTTATGGCTGTTGTTTTTTAAGAAAATGCTAATATTTTAGATACAATGAAAAACAAACAAAGAGCCGTATCTGTATGTAAATTATACAAACAATTTGATGAAAATCATTCGATTATTTATTTGAGCTTTATTCGTACATCGAAAATATAATACGGTTCAGAGTTAATATTTTTTGACGTTTTATTTTTATCATACAACGAGAAAATGTAAAAACTTTAAAGAGTATATCGTATAATCTTTACGACTCATTTACAATTTCACATTTTATGTATGTTAAGCAAGTATTATCGAGCGCCTAAATAATTTATTAAACTTTTTATATAAAAATTACTTTGGCTATTATATTACAATAGGCGTTTTGCTATTACCAACTTCAACTTAAAGTAATGATAAAGATATTTAAATACTTAAATGTGCTCTGCCTTAAACAGTTTTATATCTTAAATGAAAAATTCAATACCATCTTTAACTAAGCAATTAAGAAAGTGGAATCCTTCTAGGAATATTCTGAAATTCAGTAACTTACATAAGATTTAGTCCCCTGAGATTATCCTTTATATGTTGAAACGGACGCTTTCTCCTTTATAGCAACACGAAAGATGCTTTGGGCCACTAACATCCCGACTAAAAGACCCAAGCTTTTAGTGAAAATTCACATGGAAATTGTCTTACGTAAAGTCACATCATGTTGAATATTAGTATCCCACTAACTACTGTATAGTTAAAACCCCTAAGGAAGTCCCTTAGCGTAGATTTAGTAAAACTACTCTACTGCTTTTCATAGTAAATTAAACAGCGCTTTATGTTAAGAAATGTAGTGGAATTCGCTTGTTTACTATAATTTAAGTGATCATTAAAGAACTCAGAGAGTTAAATAACTGTCAACCAACAGTATAGAATATAACGCAAAAAATAATGTTTGATTGTTATGAATAAGATTATTTTTTTTAATAATAATTGGGACAGTCGGACCTCGAAATTATCGCAGCTAGATAAAAGGGTTACAGAGCTGACCTCCCAAATTTACGTATTTAAGTAATTTAAGTGAGACCATCAAGACGTGAGTTTCCACAACTTAGAATTCAGTTAGAAACATTTAAACTTAACTATTTTGTGAACAAAATGTGGTTAAAGTTACTTCTGTTGTCAATTCTCTGCTGCAATAGTATTGTAAGTTTTGTTTTAAATGTTTTTTTTTTTGTAGCACAGAAAAAAGTAAGTTTCAACACAACGTTTTTAAAAATCATAATTAGATACCACGACTAAGTGTATATATTTACGATTTTCATTAAATAAATAAAATAAAACACTAAGAAAAAATATACTTTTTATACTCTATTGTTACAAAAAAAATTAAAATAGGTCTTTAGTACTCAATTTCCTTTACTCTCTTGCTATAGCAAGATTCCCTTACAAGGGAATGCGTATAACATATTTAAAGAAAATTTAAGGTTAAGAATTCTTAAATCCTGACAAAACCCGAATACAGGATACCCGGAGTCCTAATTTCAGTCCCTTTCCCTTTCCCTTTCCACCCTTTTCTTAAGAGGAAAGAATGAGAAGGAAAAGTGAATTTGACGGTGGAGGAGACGCCTAGGAAGAGGAAATGTCCTCTTCATGTGCGTTTCCTCCTTCGTCAATTATGGGTAGGCAACGCATCTGCAATTGCGGATGTCTATGGGCAGCGGTCGCTTTCCATTTTGGTGGATTTAGGTGGCCGCTTGTTCGTTTGCCACCGTATATTGTAAAAAAAACAATAATTAAAAATTAGAGCCAAAGTTTAATGCCCGCCAATGATTTGATAATGAAAACATAAACAGACCATTACGAAAACAAATAACACACTTCAAAGACTTTTAAACTGATATTCTTTCCTCGTAGAAACTTTTATGACTCAAAATGAATTGCTCACTCTATGTTAGGCATTGACCTAGGGACATTTAGTACGGTAAAAAATCCCCTGTTTGTCCACAAAGGAACATCTGTCAAAAAAATAAAATATCGAAAAAAAAAAGCAAAACCAACTTCCAAACAAAATACACGAAAGACAAAGTATTCCCAAAATACACTAAAAAGTAAAAAAAAAAAACATAAAGTAATTAGACCTCCCTTAATGTAGCTATTATGCCTGTTGTACAATTATTACTTTCTCTCCACTTCTTTTGGGAAGTCGGTGTAAAATGTTAATTAAGTTTGTATGTTCTAGTTGACAACATCAATCGATGTGGGCGGAGTGTTATCTGGTAATCGCATGGCTGGCGTGCCTTTAGGCCGGTCGCTTGGCGACGGCGAACTGGACGTAGAAGGCATATGCGCGGAGCCCGGCATGGCTTGCCAGAACTGCACACATGCAGTCACATGTGTACCTCTCCCATATGGCTACTTAAAGGTTAGAGATTTTACGCAAAGGTTGTTTCTACAGGTTGTTCGGGAAAGATGTGTACAATTGACTACTACAGATTACAAGTCGGTTTCCCACACACCCTGTATAAGGTTGTTTATTTCAACAACAAAACCATGTTACAAAGTATTCGTTTTTGTTTGTATTCCACAACCAGGATTTCGCGTAACTTTTTACTGACGCTTTGTTGTATACTCTATCCTCAGCGGTATTTCCAAACTGTTATGTTTAAGGGGCGTTCAAGAAAAGGGCGTAATTCTCCCTTTAAAAGAGGCATCGTATCTGCGGTTACCCTGGCATTACAGCTGTCCACGTCATAGCATAGCGAGGTGATAATTTTGATAAAGTTGTGTACTATTGTAATATTTGTACTATTTCAGGTTCCTCTTCAAGTATGTTCAAACGGGCAGACATGTAATGCACACAAGGGGGGTTGCTCCGAGAAGGCCGTGCCCGAGTGTCAACCTACCACGCAGAAACACAAGCATTCCTGTGAACAGGTAAATATTACCCTAATAAGATTGTACTTTAACACTCGCTGAATGAATTTCTTTACTAGGATTTTATAAAACCTTCCATTGTTAAGAAGAAAATCGGTATCACGCTCGGGAATGGGACAACACTAGATTATCGGTATACACGTCCCTTCCCTATAACATCTGTCAATGTCATTAAGACGTTTAGAAATAGCGCGCCATACTGGCGGGAGTTATTGGTCAGAGTTTAGAGATTAATTACGCTATTACAATTATAATGTCTAAAAACATAATGTATAATAAAAAAACAAAACCGACTTCCAAACAAAATACACTAAAACAAAACAATATGCACTAAAAACAAAACAAAATACACCAAAAACAAAAT